GTGTTTGACAGAGTGAACCGTTGATCATCAGGGGAAACGAAGGGAATGTTGGGCGACCTTTAATGCTGTTAAATGTAGCCCAGACTTTTGAATGTGGCGTAGTGGGTGTGAGGCTATCACAAAATTTTGCCCATGATGATCGCTTTGCTGACAGTGGTTTTTGGCTGCTGGTGTGTCCCGCCGGAGATTGACCCAGTTTTATAGGGAGGGTTGACGTCTTTGTTTTTGTATGGCTCGTCGGCGTAAAGCGACTGTTTGTGCACATTCCGCGTTCTACAACGGTTTAAGTGGTTTGTTGGACCCATGTCCTGAATTTTCTTGAATATTTGAGTTGCTGCAGAAGGTATGGCCGAGGTGATTGTGGACAGACGCGTGTTTGGGTCTACATCGTTTGTATCTGGGAGACAAACAATATCAGCCCATTTTTTTTATCTAGTTTCTTAATGTTCCACTTGGGAGCGTTAGGGATAGGTTGGTGGCCGAAAGTTAGTAAATTTTAGAATGAGGGGTTTATGGTCACTTTCAATATCTGGTCCAGTATGAAACTGTAGTTCATGATGAAAGTGCGCGGAGCCAAAGCAGATGCCCAGTGAGGCTTCATAATTGGTTCTGTAGTTAAAGTAGGTTGCAAGGTAGGGCGGCGAAAGAAGAATATATGGTGCAGTGTCTAAGTAGTTATATAGATCAGTGCCTGCAGTATTTTGGGTACCTCTACTCCATGTGGGGTGGTTTGCATTGAGATCACCTGTAACAATGATCGGTTGCCGCAATTGGTTAAAATAGAAGTCCAGTTCATTTAAGTTTATTGTGCCACCAGGGTTGTATATACCCAGAAAGGATATGTGTGTACCATAGTAAGGTATTAGGCATGCTAAAATTTCTACTTCATCGTTCATAAAATGTGTAAGTATTACAGGTTTACATGTCATATTACTCCGTGTTAGGAGGAAAATACCAACCCCCATACGGTTTGGTCTGTCCAGTCTCTGCATCTGAAAGTTTTTAAAAATAGGGTTTTGTTTGGGGGTGAGCCAGGATTCGGTTATGAAAGCTAAGTCCAGTTTGGATGAGTAAAGGAATTGTTTAAGTTCTGTGAGGGATGTTTTAATGCTTTTTGCTTTCCAAGTCATGAAGCTTTGGGAAGCTATTTAGTATGTTTGGGTTATGGATGTGTCTGTTTTTCTTGGTATGCCAATAGTGGTACGTGTTGGATACCTAGATGTGGATGGGGCTGTGTCTTACCCTTGGTACTTGGTTTGGGTTTGTGGCAAGTCAGCCTGGGGAATGATTTTGGTAAGGCGTGCTAAGGAGTTATATAAGAGTTTTCGATCATCTGTTCAAACAATGTGTGTCCAACAATGGTAGCTTTGTTTGGGCGGATGTCAGTGTTTGCAGCTGTTGATGGAATGTCTTTTAGAGTCAGCCTCAGGGGTGGGTTTTGTTACTTGTGTAAAGAATTTAGTTAGAAGTCGTTCCAACGTCTTTTCTAGTGAATTTTCGAAGCGTGTGGCAAAAGTATCAACAAGATCAGGACTCAGTTGTGCATTTTGTGAGAGATGGTTAGACACTGGGGTTGTGGGAATGTCGGTGACAGACATATCAGGTACATGCAATGGTTGTGGTTGAGTGTGAGGTAGTGTTTGATGATGAGCTGTGTTAGGTTGTTTCAATGCACTACTGTATTGCAAGTTGGTGGTTGGGATAACCTTAGTTTTTGCTACTGCTGCTATATATGAAGGACATTGTTTGAATGTAATGTCATGATCGCCACCACAGTTTAAACAGGTGAGTGTATCTGATGTACAGTCTTGCGTGTAATGGGAACCAGAGCATTTCCTACATTTGAGCAGTCTCCGTGGTGTAGTGGTAAGACACTCGCCTGTCGTTCCGCGAGCGCTATGTCATGGGTTCGTATCCTGGCCGGGGAGGATTTACTGGGCGCAATTCCTTAACTGTAGCCTCTGTTTAACGCAACAGTAAAATGTGTACTTGGATGAAAAAACGATTCTTCGCGGCAGGGGATCGTATTCCAGGGACCATAGGATTAAGGACTTGCCCGAAACGCTACGCGTACTAGTGGCTGTACAAGAATGTAACAACTCTTGTATATATCTCAAAAAAAAAAAAAAATTTAATGCCTATGGTGCAGCCTTTCGAGGTATGGTTAAAACCTTTACATTTAAAATACTGAGTGGGACGTGGTACGTACTCCTGTAGTTTATGGAGGAAGCCATTTAACCAAATCCTCTCAGGAGGAATGTAGTCTAGAAAGGTAAGCAGGGCAGTTTTTTTTTCTACCACAGACGTGGCCACACATTAACAATGCTAACCAGCATATACACATTTTCTTGTCCTCCATGGACAGGGTTAGAGATTTGTTAAACATATAGTTCAGGGGAGTATTGAACAATCAACCACCGAAGGTGATTGTAGTGCTTTTAAAATGTTAGGCTAAGCTACATACGTAAATACATAAAATACACAGATTTACGTATGTCCTACATAAAGTGTTCGATGTGTCTTTTACATAGTGTCATTAATGTGCCTGTATCACTCAGTTCCTCGTTTGTTCTTCGCATAATTTTTTTGATTCCATAGATCGGGATGTTATGTATCTGTGTTGTGCCTTGATGTCGTCTACACTGTCTACAACATGTCAGATTACATATTTTGTTAATCGGTCCCCTAGTGGTTTGTAGCTCTTGACTTTGTGGGCCACAGATGTCAGTAATGTCTGAAAGCTTTAGTTCTTCGCCGTGTTTGTGGTGCATTGAGATCAAGTTCTTTTGTTTATTAGGTCTCATATTGTGCACGTTGATCCCGAAAATCATGGGAATGGCATTATATAAGATACTTTGAGCCCTGCTATTTCTGAACACCTCCTCTTCGCCATCAAAGGCAATGACGAAAGTTTGCAAATCAGAAGAACTTGGCCTACCTTGGTTGAGCGGAGGATGTTGATATTGAGGCCGCGTGGTGCCGGCAAGACCAAGACCAAGACTTTGTAAGACCATGCCTCTGTAAGTTGGCGACGTTTCGCCTCCAATCTGTTTGCCTTGCTGTAATGTTTACTGTGCAGGAAATCTCCCTCTGGATCCTCTTCTAAGACCGGGTGACGTTCATGATCTAAATGTGTGGTATGCAACAGCGCTTTCCCAGTATCCTCAAAAGTAGTGTCAATGTTTGTAGGAGAGACGCTGCGTGAACCTCCAGCAGTCCCCATGATTCTATGTTATTGTATCTATGTCTGACATTCTGTGGTATTGTAGAAACAGCTGACACTTTTTGTTGTAGCCACAGGTGACATTTTATGTTATGTGTCCAGCAGCTGACATTCTACGTTTTTATGACAAAAGCTGACATCTTTTGTTATAGCAACAGCTGACACTGTTATTGTAGCCACAACTGACATTCAGTTACTGCAGCTTCAGCTAGGATTCTGTGTTATTGTAGCTACAGCTGACGTTCTGTTATTACAACCACAGCCGACATTCTACGGTATGCAGGAACAGTTGACATTTCCCTCCAGGACATATGTATTTTGTGCACGGAGATTTTAATAATAATAATAATAATAATTTTATTTAGGTAAGGTACATACATAAAGAGATTTTACAAAGTTTGTTGGCTTTATAGATAGAGCTAGTACATACAATGCCTAAAGCCACTATTATGCAAAGCGTTTCGGGCAGGAAAAACATTAATGACTAAAGCTTAAAACTAATGGGTAAAAAGAATAAGATGTGTTGAGTACAAATAAAAATAGAGGTAAAAGAGGGGGGAACATTGTTGAAAAAGCAGCACAAATACAATTACAAATTATTACAGAAAATTACATTCAAACAGCGTTGATTTGAAAAACAAAAAAAAACAAAAAACATACATGGGTTGACAACAGAGGGGTAAGGTGAGTTACAGGGAATTTATTAGGTATAGCTTCGTTTTTAACTTAAACTGGTTGAGAGAGGTACAGTCTTTAACATGGTTGGGAAGGTCATTCCACATTCTGGACCCCTTGATTTGTAGAGCATTTCTGGTTTGGTTAAGTCGTACTCTAGGAATATCAAAACTGTATTTATTTCTGGTGTGGTGCTCATGGGTTCTGTTACAACCTTCTATGAAGCTTTTGAGTTCAGGATTGGCATTATAGTTTAGCGTTTTATATATGTATAATACACATGAGAGAATGTGCAGTGACTTAATGTCTAACATATTCAGACATATGAGTAGGGGTACCGAGTGATGTCTGGGGCCAGAATTGGATATTGTCCTAATAGCAGCTTTGTGTTGAGTAATTAGAGGACGTAAGTGATTTTGGGTAGTAGAGCCCCAAGCATAAATACCATAGTTGAGATATGGATAGATAAGGGAGTAATAGAGAGTCACCAGGGCAGGGCGTGGTACATAATATCTGATCTTAGAAAGAATGCCCACAGTTTTTGAAACTTTTTTGATATGTTTAGAATGTGTCCCTGGAAATTCAGCTTGTGGTCAATGAGAATGCCAAGCAATTTGCCATCTAATTTGTTACAAATTTGGGTATTGTTTATTTTGAGATTTATTTGATTAGAGGATTTATTGCCAAACAGAATATAGAAAGTTTTGTCAATGTTAAGGGTGAGTTTGTTGGCAGTTAGCCACAGATGGACTTTATTAAGCTCAGTATTTACTGTGGCATTTAGAGCAAGGGGATCAGGACTGGAGTAAATGAAGGTTGTGTCGTCAGCAAATAGAATTGGTTTGAGGTGTTGGGAGGCATTTGGAAGGTCATTAATGTAGATGAGAAAGAGGAGAGGGCCAAGTATGCTGCCCTGGGGAACACCAATGTTGATGGGTAGGGTGGGAGAAATTGTATTATTCACAGAAACACATTGGAGCCTGTCAGTAAGGTAGGATTTGAGGTATTTAGTAACAATGCCCTTGGAATACAATTGTCATGGTGTCGAAGGTTATCTGCTCAACTGTTATCATGACTAGCATGATAACAGGTGAGCAGATAAGAGGTGCTGGTGGTGGCGGATGTGGCATCAGCAGCGGCGGACTCCTGCTGCTGACGCCCAGAGGTGCACACTCCTCCCTCTTCAACGGTGAACTGCTCTACAAACTCAACTCAAGTAAAAATACTTTTTGATCTTAAATTTTCAATTTAATTTACAATAATTAAAGAAACGCAGAAAATTCCACGACATATCTATTGTTGTTGTTGTGATGTTGGAATTTAACCCATCCTGTTTTGGTAGTACTTGTAGGAAGGATGAGGGCCGTAGTATATATAATGATGTACAACACAATTAGAAAGTAGAAATGGGTACAGTACTAATGAACTTGGAGAAACCGGAAAGCGATTTTCTACTTATGTTGCAAAGACAAACTAAACTAACCTAACCTAATCTAACTTTCCTAGGCTTATCACAAGCAATTTGAGGCTTAATATATTACATGTTATGCTATAGTATGCCTAGGAATATTTAAGTTAGATTTTTAGTAATTTTCGGAGAAAAGTGAATAGTACAAAGTTCTTCTATCTATAATTGCTTAGTACATCAATGTTTGTACATTACAAACATACATCTGCCGTTTAGATGGTACATTACAAAATGTACTATCTACACGGCAGGCTCGGTTATGGAATTGATTAAATATATTTTGTTAGGATAAAGGAGGTCCTATAATCAACATTAGGATTAATTTTCCCACGTTAAGTTAAAATTCCCAGGGATTAACCTTCCTCGGGATGCAGCCTATAGCAGTTCACTAACTCCCTAAACCTACTTACTGCAAGGTGAATAGAGACATCAGGCATAAGAAAACGCACCTAAATGTCTGCCCAAAACGCTGCGCGTACTAGTGGCTTTACAAGATTGTAAATACTATGCTATGTATTCTCACAAACCCAATGTACCTTCTTGTATATAAATAAATAAATAAATAAAATGTTTCATTCCACTGCACTGCTTAGTGGTGAGGGTGTTGATATGATATTTTGACAGTGATTGTATGGTGTTTAATATATATTTTGTCATTAATTATTGTATTATATATATATATATATATATATATATATATATATATATATATATATATATATATATATATATATATATATATATATATATTAGTATATTTTGGTAGCAGTCTTTCCTGTAGACATATATTATTAAATATGACCGAAAAAGTAAGATTAATAATTCTAACACGAATTTTCTCAATCTTTCGTACATTTCTTTTCACTGTTGGAGGCAATTCAAAAATCAATTCTCCAAAATTCATTTTTATTTCTAGTCTGACGCGACACTTGAGCGCGTTTCGTAAAACTTATTACATTTTCAAAGACTTTAGTTAACACATACACAACTGAATAGAACTTACACATCTCCGATTTTGTTTATATCTATATTTGAGTGAGGTGGATGGGGTGAGGTGGTATTTAATAAGGTATTAATTTCATCAACACAAGTTAGAACATGAAACAATGGGTATTGAATAGAAGTGATTGCAGAAAGCCTATTGGTCCATATTTCTTGGTCCGGACCTATTGGTCCGACATTGTAGAATCAATCCGCCTACAAAAGAACAAGCGGCTCGGGGCTTTGGTCAAGTCGGAGGATCCAGTGGCTGCGGCCCTCCTACCTGCATTCCAAGCGTGAATGCGGCGATGGATAGACCAGACCATGGCCGCCAAAACCCCTACTAACAGTACGTCTGAGCACTCTAGGGTTTGGAAAGCAAAACTGTACAGCATGGTGTAGGGCCCCGGCCTTGCATCTGCTTGTGAGGTTCCTTCCTGCCTCAAGTGGGTCTTGTCCAGAGGTGTTTGTGAAGGTTTCATATTGGTGTTGGTGACGGTATCGTAGGAGAGTAGAATGCATTGCAATGGTGTTGAATATATCGTAATGGTTTTGAACATATCGTAGTGGTGATGGTGAATGAATCATTGTTGCGATGGTGACGCAGTTGCTTAATTTAGAACCTGTACTTGAGGTCGATCTCGAACCCATTGTTGATGTGATGACTTATATTGAATTTTGTAACTAGCTCATCAAGATTGTAACTTGCTTAGCTAAATGAATTGTGGGGTTCAGTCCCTGAGCCCATTATGTGCCTCTGTAACCCTTTCCTCTACCGCCCACAAGATGGATATGGGGTGCATAATAAATGAACTAAACTAAACTAACGATGGTGACGGTTCGAAGTTTAGAGTATTATCAGGGGAAAGCGCCAGGCCATTACCACTATATATCACTGGGAAGGGGTCAGGATAAGGATTTTAAGGAATGGTGCCCAACCACTTGAACTGTCGCGGATTGAACGCTGACTTGCACTGTCGCTCTACCATCCAGCCCAAGTGATTGACGAAGGTGATGTAGTGTTGAAGCTATCATAGTGATGAAGTTTTGTGTCATTGCTGTTAATGGTACTATAATGTGGTGTTAGCAAAGATATCCTATTGGTGTTGGTGAGGGTATCATTGTGGTGTTGGTGAAGGTATCATAGTGGTGTTGGTGAGGGTATCATTGTGGTGTTGGTGAAGGTATCATAGTGGTGTTGGTGAGGGTATCATAGTGGTGTTGGTGAGGGTATCATAGTGGTGTTGGTGAGGGTATCATATTGGTGTTGGTGAGGGTATCATAGTGGTGCTGGTGTAGGTATCATAGTGGTGTTGGTGAGGGTATCATATTGGTGTTGGTGAGGGTATCATAGTGGTGCTGGTGTAGGTATCATAGTGGTGTTGGTGAGGGTATCATAGTGGTGTTGGTGAGGGTATCATAGTGGTGTTGGTGAGGGTATCATAGTGGTGTTGGTGAGGATATCATAGTGGTGTTGGTGAGGGTATCATAGTGGTGTTGGTGAGGGTATCATAGTGGTGTTGGTGAGGGTATCATAGTGGTGTTGGTGAGGGTATCATAGTGGTGTTGGTGAGGGTATCATAGTGGTGTTGGTGAGGGTATCATAGTGGTGTTGGTGAAGGTATCATAGTGGTGTTGGTGAATGTATCATAGTGGTGTTGGTGAGGGTATCATAGTGGTGTTGGTGAAGGTATCATAGTGGTGTTGGTGAATGTATCATAGTGGTGTTGGTGAGGGTATCATAGTGGTGTTGGTGAGGGTATCATAGTGGTGTTGGTGAGGGTATCATAGTGGTGTTGGTGAGGGTATCATAGTGGTGTTGGTGAGGGTATCATAGTGGTGTTGGTGAGGGTATCATAGTGGTGTTGGTGAGGGTATCATAGTGGTGTTTGTGAGGGTATCATAGTGGTGTTGGTGAATGTATCATAGTGGTGTTGGTGAGGGAATCATAGTGGTGTTGGTGAGGGTATCATAGTGGTGTTGGTGAGGGTATCATAGTGGTGTTGGTGAGGGTATCATAGTGGTGTTGGTGAGGGTATCATAGTGGTGTTGGTGAGGGTATCATAGTGGTGTTGGTGAGGGTATCATAGTGGTGTTGGTGAGGGTATCATAGTGGTGTTGGTGAGGGTATCATAGTGGTGTTGGTGAGGGTATCATAGTGGTGTTGGTGAAGGTATCATAGTGGTGTTGGTGAATGTATCATAGTGGTGTTGGTGAGGGTATCATAGTGGTGTTGGTGAAGGTATCATAGTGGTGTTGGTGAATGTATCATAGTGGTGTTGGTGAGGGTATCATAGTGGTGTTGGTGAGGGTATCATAGTGGTGTTGGTGAGGGTATCATAGTGGTGTTGGTGAGGGTATCATAGTGGTGTTGGTGAGGGTATCATAGTGGTGTTGGTGAGGGTATCATAGTGGTGTTGGTGAGGGTATCATAGTGGTGTTGGTGAGGGTATCATAGTGGTGTTGGTGAGGGTATCATAGTGGTGTTGGTGAATGTATCATAGTGGTGTTGGTGAGGGTATCATAGTGGTGTTGGTGAGGGTATCATAGTGGTGTTGGTGAGGGTATCATAGTGGTGATGGTGAGGGTATCATAGTGGTGTTGGTGAGGGTATCATAGTGGTGTTGGTGAATGTATCATAGTGGTGTTGGTGAAGGTAAGTAGTGGGAATGGAGGATTAGCGAGGCAAATTCCTCGTTAAGATGCCACCCATAAAAAGGTCTCGGTGTCTGACCTTGAAAAATTCCTGGGTAAGAGGCCATCCATTTGAGACTAATGTAAGTTAGAATCTTATTCACCGCTGACCTGCCAACTGTTTTCGACCTAAATTTTTGTAGAGTCCAGTTTTAGGAAAATATTTCAGAGTTCATTTTCGGAGAATAGTTTTATTAGGAGTTAAAGAAATTTTTATGAAGAAAATATTCGCTCTATACTGTTTTAACTGAAATTTGTCAGATTTATTCCTTGCTGTGTTCATAAAGAATTCTTATGGATAAAAATTAACTCAACGGACTTAAGTTTCTGTTTTGAAAAATTAATTCACAGCATCAGAAGTTTGTTTTTGGTCTTGGCTCTATTCATTTATAAGTGAAGTTCTGCAACTATTAGCCAAATTTTAGCCAAATTTAAAACAGTAGACGAAGTTACTTTAGGCGAAGTAAGAAAAGGAAATAGTTACCGAGTTCTAGTTCCGTTCTCTGCCTTAGTTGACACCCGTAGATTCGCTACTATCAGGTCCAATTTTCCTGAAATTTAAACGTGCTGTATTTCGGATGCAGATAATAAAATCAAGACAGTTATCAAGTTTCAGCTCCCATCCTCCGCCTTAGTTTGTGTGGCAAACCTCATTAATAACTGGTCAAATCCCCTGGAATTTTAAACCGCTATATTTCGTACATAGGAAAATAGATCAAAGCAATTACAGAGTTCTAGTACCAGTTCCCCCGCATTAGATCCCTCTTGTATCTTCCATAGTATCTTCCTAAATCATCTAAAATTTAAACTCGCTGTATTTCAGATGCTATAAAATAAATCAGAAGCAAATACCAAGATCCGGCTCTTGTCCCCGCCTTAGTTCAGTCGTACAACTCTCTTATTATCCTATCAATTTCCTTAAGATTTTAAACATACATATTTTAGACATAGTTATAGAAGAAAATAAAGGTATTGAGTTCCAGCTCCTGTCCTTTCCCTAGTTCCCTCGCGTATCTTCATTAATATTTACCCAATTTCCCTGAAATTTTAAACCCCTTTATTTGGCACGTAGT